ATTTTTTGGTTGCAGCCGTCATTGTTGTTTGGCGGGTCCGGGCTGGGGATTCGAACCCGCCACCTTAGGTGTACATGGCTGGCGCCTTAGCCGGTTATAGGCACCGAGCCACGAGAACAATTTCTTACAACTGTAGACTTACTATAGCCACACAGAATTCACTGCCCACTCTTGACTATCTCTTACTCGTTTTGCAAAGTTCATGTTCTGTCTACTTTGTGTCATGGTGAGATCCCATGAATTTATGAGCTAGAGCATTAGTGACTAAGTCAAGAGACCAGACCTATGTTTAGATTAACAAGGTACTGCATGTAGGAAGTACATGAGTTTTTAATGGGAATGATGATTTTATGGGCAAAGTAATATTTATGGCTGTTGTTGAGTATACAGCAATTTATTCACAACTAAAATGGACACATATTTAAAGTTGGCACTTTCTGTGGTATTTTAGAAGAATACATTTCTCTACTATAATTAATGCAAGTGAAGTAACACCTTTTGGGACTTCAGTCATTAGACCTCTCCTATTCTCCAACATGGTCCAGCACACATTTGTCTCATTAAAATTTGCTTTGAGTATGTAATAATTAATAAGAATGGAGTAGGATCTGAATAGCTGAAAAAACACTGATTTTGTTGCACAAGCGTATGTCATGTTCGAGGGACAAGGGCACAGGTAACAGACCGATGTTGCTGGTCAGCAGCCTGTCACAGCACCTTTGATATCTTTGGGAGACCCAAATAAATAAGTGAAAATAAAGTTTCACTTTGCCAGTAATCTTCCAGCAAAGTTCCACTTTGCTCCAGTAATCTAAGCGTGGCCCCTAAAGGATATGGCCTTAATGAATTGGCAGGAAGTAGCACACCCAGAACCTGGCAGTGCAGATCTCAGCCACAGATGCTCTAACTGTAAACTAAAGGAGTCTGCGTGCCTGGCTTGTCCTCAGTGGTGCTTTTGTAAAGGTCGGAACCCTTTTTAAGAATTGTTACCTCTTTTCTATTTGATCTTTTTCCCAGGCCATTTCTCGATTATGTGACGATAAATACAAAGACTTATGTAGAGCTGCCATGAGAAGATCTTTCAGCGCAGATCATTTCACTGGCATTCGGCGCTCTAATGCCATCCTCTCTTAAGGGAGAAGCGAGGGGTTAGAACATCATGGACCCCTCACCTGCAGAGACTGGAGAAATACCACCTCTCCTCAAAAACCAGCAAGATTAGTATTTTCACCAAAAAGACAGATCTCAAATTCAAGAGACTTGTGGACAATGAGGATTACACTCCATAGGAAAGAATGGGACCTTGTCAATGACAAGAACACACTCTTCTGTCCGTTTTGATGTAAAGTTACAAAACCACTCCAAAGCAAAAGCTCCCAAACCACACAGATATTTGCTTCTGTGTAGGCTGATAGCTGTGAATTATGTGAAGTTTTTTAAACAATAGTTTAAATTTTTAGACTCTAAAGACACTAACCATATACTTTTTATGTTTTACCTATTTCATATAACTTTTATGTTTTTCCTATTTTTCTTGTCCCCCTACCCCAAATAATTGCTGCATATACCTTTAAAATCAATGCAGTATTACCACTAAACATGGGACTCTTAACAGCTCATAAAACCACTTGGGAGCAGACTGTAGCATTGTTAGGTATTGAAGGAGTCTTCCTTCCTACTGTTACCATTGAAGCTGCTAGTCCTCGGCAATCATTTTAAACCCAGAAAGCTGCTGGATAACATTTATTGTTCATATTCTTTGCAAAAACACTACTTTTTAGCATTTTAGCATCTCTGGGGTCATAAAGAGAGAAAGTATCAAATATCAGGGAGGTTTGTTGTTTTATTTTTTTTAGAAGGACTCATGACACATAATAGGAACAGTTACTGATCATCTGCTTCTATTGGGTCCCCATTGCCATTTCTTTTAAACTATAATGGTGCTTCTCATTTTCAGATAATTTTCCTCTTATTTGTTAAATAAATGTATTGAAAGATATTTTCATAATGCCAGCCAACATGGTGGTCCAGTGATAATGAAAAACTAATCAACCACAAGGTGTCCTGAAGGCTTCAGGGCAGTGGTCAGCTCTAAACCCAGTGTGCTCGGGCCTTCCCAGGCACTGCTGCGGAAGGCGTAAGTGCTAGAAATAAGACTTTAGAAAACATCTTAATTATATCTCTTTTATGTTGCTTTTCTTTTTACATTTTTGCCTTTTTTCTTTTACTTTTTTCTTTCTTTTTAAGAGATGGGGTCTTGCTCTGTTACCTAGCTGGACGGCAGTGGCTGTTCACAGGTCCCGTCACAGCTCACTGCTTGTAGCTGGCACTCCACGTGTGTGTGCCTGTAGGTGCCTGGCTCCTGAATATCAATCTTTTAATTTTTTGTTTCAGTTCCTCCCCTCTTGAAGATGGCAGACACTGCAACAAAAAATTACAAGCTTAATATTCAAAATTTGCAAAATTAAGACAGGGAGGTGGTGTGTTCCTATAGCCCCACTACTTAACATTTTTTGTTGTTTTGTTTTCAAAACTAACTTTAAAAGAAATAAAAATAAAAGAAATTTATATTCTTATAAGTATCAAAACATAAAATTACACCGAGATGTTTGGGTCCCCTTGTATCCAGAGACATACCCTCCTTTTTTTTTATAGGTAGTTCCTCGTAGGGCTTTGCAGTATCTGCTTTGATCACCTAAGTCTCTTTCTCTAGATTTGGTAAAGGAAGATGATGAAGAGAAGTGTTATTCATATTTAATACATTAAAAGGAATGGGACCCTAACAGTAGTAGGTGGCATGAAACAGCTTTTAATCCTACATGTTGACCTGGCTGTAGGTATCTCATTTGAAGTCTTGCTATTTAAGAAAGAACATATACAATAAGCCTTAGAACCCTTACTTCAGGCTGTACAGGAGTAAAGAATTTTAGAAGACTGGTAACAATTTCACCTAAATTTGAAATACTAAGAAAAAGATTAGTGTTCTCAGCTAGGTGAAATCCATTTCTCCTACTTTCTCAAATGTAATCCTAGGAATCTTGCCTGTAAACAAAACATTTCCGGCCAGGAATACTTCCTCTCAATACAGCAATGCTTCACATAATATTGAGTGCCGCAGGTTCCATCATTTCTAAAGGACAGAGACATATGAGAAAAATAATAGTATGTAAAATATTACAATCTACCACCTCAAAAAAACATTGGAGCTTGGAGTTTCAAGTGTTGATTGCAGTTTTATTTTGAAAAGAATGCTACAATTTATGTGGTTTTTATTTCTCATGTTTATATTAAAAGAAAAGCTAATAAACTCTATTTTAATTAAAATACGGGTAGTACATTTGTAACATTTCTTTTCACGTAGTATCACATCTTGCCTACCTTAAATGTTGTAACTCAGTCTTGGTGTGTCTTAACCATTTTCAAACTGACCATTCACAACCTGGAGATAATTGGTTCCACTTAAAAATCCCTGGTCACAGTTCTTAGTGGCATCTTTGAATACTTGGTTATTGTGCCTAAGAGGGAAGAGCACGTTAGAATTCAGTGAAAAATACCAAGATTAGGGAATTACAGGAAAAGTACAGAATTAGAATGAGGTATCTGAGGCTTTTAAACAGTTAAACAGGAAAGAAAATAGAGGGACAAGAACTAGAATTAGGATTGCTGTATAGAGGGTGACTGAAAACAAGTCACAGAATTTGACTTTAACTTTTTTTTTTAAGAGATAAGGTCTTGCTCTGTTGCTCAACTTGGAGTGTGGTTGCGTGATCAGAATTATAACTCCCTGTAACTTCCCAACTCCTGGGCTCAAGTGATGCCCTGCCTTAGCCTCTTAAGTAGCTAGGATTACAGGGGTGCATCACCACATGTGGCTGATTCTAATTTTTTTCTGAAATTTTTTTTTTATTTTTTGGTATGTTGCTCAGGCTGGTCTCAGACTACTGAGCTCAAGCAATCTTTTCACTTTGGCCTCCCAAAGTGCTGGGATTACAGGCATGAGGCATTGTGCCCAGCCAACATGCTGTTAAAAATATTACAGATCAGCTTGGTGCCTATAGCTCAGTGGTTAGGGCACCAGCCACATAGACTGGGGCTGGAGGGTCTGAACCCAACCTGGGCCTGCTAAACAACAATGACAACAATAACAAAAATAGCTGGGTGTTGTGGCAGGCCCCTGTAGTCCCAGCTACTTGGGAGGCTGAGGCAAGAGAATCATTTAAGCCCTAGAGTTTGAGGTTGATGTGAGCTGTGATGCCACGGCACACTAACCAGGGCAACAGTGAGACTATGTCTCAATTAAAAAAAAAAATTCCAAATCACTGTTAGGTTCCTTTAGAACTAAGAGTGTAGCCACTTAGCTTCTTGGTAAATCCTGATAGTAGTATTGGGTTTTTATCTACTTTAATTCTTTTGTGCTTAAAGGTCAGAGCTTTAAATAACTGATCACTTTGTTCTTAATAAATTGTGGATTAGGATAACTGATCTGATTTAATTTAAAGGAAAAAATTATTATTGATCACTTTATAAGATGGTTTGTGCCTTTATAATATGCTGGTCACTAAGCAGAAATGCTAATGGAATGAGTGGTCAGGTTTAAGAGTCGGGAGGTGGTCAGTGGACATGAGTCTGTGACTTCAGGAACAAGTTGAGAATATCACTAACATTGCTCTTCCCTTTGGCTTTAATTCAAGAAGGTAATGCAGCTATTTTGATAAGTGGAAAATTGGGTCAACTTAGGATAAGACTATAAATGTCAATGAAAGTAGGTAGGTTATCTGATGAATGGTATGGGGCATGGAAACTGAGTTACTTGATGGTAACTATGGCAGTTTTCTCAGAGTTCTGTACCTAGGAAAGATTTGTTCCCTAACATAGGATTATAAAAAGGAATAGCTGACTGCCTGGATTTAAATCTATCTTCATTTTCAGTTTTTTAAACTATTGTAATATAGACCTCAATAAAACTTTCACTTTGGTACATTGTAAACCTTTATATCTTCATGATAAGGAAAAGACAAAAATCTGAAATGGGGGTGCCCGTAGCTCAGTGGGTAGGGCACCAGCCACATACACCGAGGCTGGCAGGTTCAAACCCAGCCCAGGCCAGCTGAAGCAACAATGACAGCTGCAACAAAAAAAAAATCTGAAACACATATCCGAACCAAGTGAAACTGCTATTTTTTATAGGTCACAAATGGTTTCCTATCAGGAATTTTCATATTGTTCTTCCTAAGCACACCCTATGTTTCTGGTTAGAGAGATTTTACCCCAGCCCTTTCACAAGTCCTCTTTATGTACCCATATGCCTATACATTATTGAAATCCAACGGCTCTAAATCCTGCTTTTAGTAATAGCTCAAGCTTCACTTCTTACGTCTAGCTTACCTACATTTCTAAATACATTATTCTGTGACTTTAAAAAAGTGCCAAAAGCCATTTTAACTGTTAAGCAATGCGGTCTTCATTCCATATTCATGTTATGCAGTGTTTCTGGAAACTAGTTTAGCTACAGTATGTAGGTGAGCCAAAATCTTTCATCACCCACCGCTTCTCCCTAACCACATTGGAGATGACTATGACTTGACTGTTCCTCACTCAGAAGCCTCATTGCTGAGAATAGAACTGCTTGGAAAGGCACTTGACAGCCTGCAGAGCACCTCCCAGGTAAGTGCTGGTTTCCATCCAGGTTGTGTAGATTATACCCAGCACGTACTAAGTGAAGAGTAGATTACCCACAGTTTAGCTGCCAGCTGCTCACGGACCTGGTTAGGCCTGACGTTGTGGCAGCAAGCAGGACACAGGATCTAGGAGCCCTTCAGGGAAAGTCTGGTCCCTTAGTACACAGGAACCATCTGGTTTCTTTCCACTGAACTATTGTAAATGGGTTTGGCAAGTGAGAGAACATGTGCTTAATCCGAAATAAAATTTAAGAGCACCAGTTTGGGGTTTAGGGCTTCTGGGGGGCAGGAAGAACAACCAACTGGGAAGGTGAAACTAAGAGGAATCCTGAGTGCATTGAAAAAAGGTTAACATTCTTTCCAAAGGAACAGGTTAGGGGATATTGTAACTGCTAGCAGGGAGCTAAGTAATTTGACTGTGATTAGAAAAGTGATAGTCCCAGAACCTCAGGTCTTCAATGAGAAATCAGTGGTATTTCAAAATAACCTCAAAGGATTCCCAAATTAGTCTGCTGGCTTTTAAAACTATCTTCTTATCATTCTCAATTCTACAAACCTTTACCTCCCAGCCCCAGGATGGTGGTTTCTGCATCTTCTCATTAGGAGAATGGACTATTCCAAAGGCAGGGCTTCAAGTGTTTTGTCCACCCCTGTTTCAACCAAGTGCCTGAGGACCCTACAAAATCATCCTAGCTTCAACCTGACATTCTCTGCCAATGTCTGATAGGGCAGTGCTTAATGGTGGTCAGTGTGACCAATTTCCAAAGCATTAGCTCCAGGTTTCAGAAAATGCAGG